GGGAGGGCAGTTAGGGGCTATCGGGCCTGTAGGGGAGCAATTAGGCATTCATCAGGTTGGCACAGGAGTGGTTAGGGGGTGATCAGGCTGGCAGGCAGAAGCAATTAGAGGTAATCAGGCAGGCAGGTAGGGGAGCGGTTTGGAGCCAGTAGTCCTGGATTGTGAGAGAGATGTCCAATGGCAGTAGGACATTCCTCAAGGGGTTCCAGATTGGAAAGGGTGCAGTCTGGGCTGAGGGACACACAATCCCCTCTCTGTGTACGAATTTCATGTACTGGGCCTCTATTAACACTTATAAAATATTAACCTGATCATGTCACTTCCTTCCCTCAGCTGTTTTGATGGATGGCTTCTCATCCCATTTAAAGAAAACTCCGAAGTCCTTAACCAGGACCTATAAAAACCTTGTTAAGATTCAGGTCCCATCTACCTCTCCAGCATCAATGTATCCACTCTCCCCATTGCTTACTCAGCTCCAGTCACACTGGTCACCCAGCTGTTTCTTGAACATTTAAGCATGCATCTAGTATTTGTTCTAGTAGGAATAACTCTTCCTTCAAGTAAACAATATGGACCATTCTTTCACTTTATTGAATTCTCTTTTCCACTGTTATCTCATCAGAGCAGGCTTTTGCTGCCACTCTTATTAAAATCATGGGCCCTACTTAGTTCTTTTCCATCACTCCTCTGCTTTACTCTATCACTTTCTTCAGTTACCCCCAGATATTGTTCCTATCAGACAAAATATTGCATCATTACATCATTACAAAAATGATTAACTGATTTTGCCTCCTTCCTTTAGAATTTAAGTTCCATGAGGTTAGCTTAAAGAAATAAGACTTTTAACTCCACTATTTTATGGACATTTTTCTGTTTAAATTACCAAGGAGCTCTGAGCTGAATTTTGTCCTCTCAAAAATTCATGTGTTGAAACCTTAATGCCCAATATATTAGAATGACTGGATATAGAGAGAGAGTCTTTAGTTAAAATGAGATCATTAGGGTGGGCTCTAATCCAACATGACTGGTGTTCTTATAGGAAGGGGAAATTAGGCCATAGATATACACAAAGGAAACACCACATGAAGACACGTAGAGAAGATAGCCAGCTCCAAGCCAAAGAGAGAGGCCACAGAAGAAGTGAAACCTGCTGACAACTTGACCTCAGACTTCCAGCATCCAGAATTGTGAAAAAACAAATTTCAGTTATTTCAACCATCCAGTCTGTGGTACTTTGTTATGACAGCCCTAGCAAACTAAGACAGACCTTTCAAATGCCAAATTCCTTTAGTCCTTCGCTTTTTAAATTCTCTTTTAACTTTTACAAGTTAGAAATAAATCATGCAAGTTAGCATATTTAAAAATATAATTTAAAATAATAAGAACAACAGCTTACCTGTATACTTACCAGCCAGGCAAGGAAAAACATTGTTACCACCCTAAGCTTCTTCCCGTTGCCTTCTCCCCCCTGCCCAGTCACAAGGCAACATTGCAGTGATATCCATGTTAATCATTTTTGCAGGAGAAGTTTTACTTATGCCAGATAGGTACTCCACTTTTGTGGTATGGTTAATTCCTATCTAAGACTACTATGTATTTTAATTTATCTATCTATCTACCTACCTATTAATCATCTATCTCAGCTATTGTACAATATTATAAACTCAAAAACAATTTTTGTTTTTGAAAATTCTTACAGAGGAGATATTTGAAAGATTAGCTATGTTAATGTTGCATTTTAATCTAATAACATAGAAATTAAAAATAAACCATTTTGAACACCTTCTTGTTTCTTTATACTGTTCTACTTAGGCACTGGAGAGAAGAACATGTGAGTAATAGAATTAAATATCTATCTCTTCTACCTAAAAAAAAAAAATGGTTTCCTAGCCCTTCCACTTCTGCTACTGGGCCGAAGAAGACAAAGGGAAAACACGAAATATGTTTTTCATCAGTGCTTAAGTCAGTGGCTTTGGTTATATAGTTTAACTTAATAGTTTGGAGTTACCAAAAATAGTAGGCTAAATGTTTAGACTCCATCATCTGTGGTAACATCAGGATAAATTACAGATTTATTAGAAGACATAAAGTCAACAAAATGAATATATGGGAACTTTAAATCAAATGTCTTGCTTTTGTAGAACCCACCCGAGACTTCACCACTGCCCTCTTTCCAGGCCAGACCATCATCATCTTTAATCATTCTATGATAATAACCTTGTAGTTCATCTCCTTACATCTTACTCCCCTACATATATACTTTCCACAATCACCAAAGTGATTTTCAAGTACAAATATCTTTTCATGTTTTTTTCTACATTGAAGGTTTCTTGCTTAAGTCCAGATGCTAAAATGTCCTTAAAAGTCTCCCTTAATTTGACTAAAATATCCGTAAGGAATATAAAGGTTCAAAATGTGCACATACGTACATAAATACTAAAATAGATGTTTCTCTGTGGATATTTATGACCAAGAATACTCATCAATCAGTATTGCAAAATTTGTAGTAAATTTGTCATAAGTCAAATTAGTGTATTAAAATTTATAATCAAAATACTGTGGCTATCTTCACATTTTTCTTTATTAGGCTCACAACGATGTATAAAAATAAAAACTTATTAACAGGAATTATAGAACTTATTAGAGATAGTATGCTAATGATGAAACATTTGCAGTGTAACACATGCCTTGACGTGAGCCATAAACATCTCCTAGGGAATAATTTATTAAGACAGCAGATAACAGTGCTCGGGTCAGAGAGAAGTGGGGTTAAAGATTACCATGTCCAGCACAAGCCGGTTTGGCCCAGTGGATAGAGCGTCAGTCTGCGGACTGAAAGGTCCCAGGTTCAATTCCGGTCAAGGGCATGTACATTGGTTGCGGGCACATCCCCAGTGGGGGGTGTGCAAGAGGCAGCTGGTCGATGTTTCTCATCGATGTTTCTAGCTCTCTATCTCCCTCCTTTCCTCTCTGTAAAAAATCAATAAAATATATATTTTTTTTAAAAAGATTACCATGTCCAATAAATTTTCTGTATTATCTCTCACATTACGTCTTACTCTCTGTAAGAACCAAGCTTGTGGATTAGCCCATGGCACAATATAAATCATGAATCTAAGGGGAAGTGCATCTAACATTCTAGATAGTTGAAAAATATCTAAGTTGCCCAAGTTATTTTAAACTAAATTCTACTCTATAAAAAAATCTAAGTTTACTCAAACATTGTTTGTTAAAACCCTGTTCTCTGCCAGATCTGTACCCTAGGTGCTGGGGATTCAAAGATTAAACAAAGTACAAAAGGAGCTTGTTCCCATAGAGCTTACATTCAAGTAACAATTTCTTCATTCAAAACTATCAGCAATATAAGTACCCATGAATAAGAGAATTTTAAATAGTTATACATGTTATGAAGAACATAAAACAGTGATGCAATATGACAAAAATTAGAGTAGGGGGTGATCTTACATTGAAGGCCACATAATTCTTGGAGGAGGCGATGTCTGGGCACAAATAAAAACACAAGAATGAGCCTGCCATGCCATGATTGGAGAATTCCAGACAGCAGCAAGAACAGCACAGATGTTTCAAGGTAGAATAATGTTGGTATGCTCAATCAGAGAAAGAAGGTTAATGGAGCAAGGGAGAAATTATTTACTTGAAGTGAGAGATTTTGATGGGGCTGATGATATAGGGCATACTAGACCACAGTTAGAAATTTAGATTTTATTCTGTATCATTTCTTTCTGAGAGTAATATGATTCGACTCTCTCCAGCTGCTGCATAGAGAATGGACTAAAGAAAGATAAAATAAGCAGCTCAGAAAAATTTTTAAATTGCATTTGGGCCAGTGAGAATGATTATCATCTGGACTCGAAGGAATGTATAAATATATAAGTGGTAGCATATTTTATGTATGTAAACTGTGCCTATGCATTGTGGGCAATTGATGAATATTTGTTGAATGAATGGACAGCATAACTCATATGAACATTAACCTAGCAATGTATTTTTGTAATTTCCAAATTTTGTAAAATGACATGATATCTAAACTAAAAAAAGTTAAAATGAAAATTTTTTAAATTAACAAGAAAATCTAAAATTTCCATTTGTATTACCATGCCTTTCTTACTATAAGATAATTTAAATAATTTAATACAAATAAATACAAATTATTAAAAATTCTAGATAGGTACCATTCACCAAATATATAATATTTCCTAATGTTAATTCTACAGTTTCTTTATACAATTATGGTTATACTAAAAACTATGGCACTGTATTAAAGGATATTTTATTAGTTTAATACATAAATATTTATTATTTAGGTATAAATCACTAACTTTTTTGAGGTCAATTATTCTTGTATTTCAGTTTCTCATAAAGTTTTCAAATTAACATCAATTTTTATTCTTATAATTAAGCTACATTATCCATCCAGGGTGAGAAAAAGTATCAAAATTTAAACAAATAATAGAGTTCTACAAACCCTAAAAAGGGAAGAAATCGCCAGTTCAAATATGAATTTTGAATTTACTAGTGCTGTAAGAAAAATATTTTTTTTTCATAGAAAGAATAGATAAGCAGACAGAGAGATGATAAAGGAATAATCATTTACTGTCTTTTTACTTTACTACTATATTAATATGGGTACGACAAGAAAAAGAGGTTAGAAGAATATTAACAATTGTCCAGTGAATTTCCTTTTGATATAAGAGAAGTTTGGACATTATTAGCTATGCTCTAATACTATGTCTCATTTTCATACATCATAGTATTTTAGTTATGCTTTGACACCCGGATAATAATCAACAAGTATGTGGTATGTTGCACATTTATTTTTGTGACTCAGAAGGAAAGAAATGTCAAGCTTCAGGGCATCCTTGACATTTCAAATCACTCATATTGGTGTAAATATCAGTCCTACCTTTACTCTTGGGAACCCATGTAGCCTAGAAACTTACAAGTACCCAACTGAAATGGGTCTTACATGATTGGCTTACCTGAAATTTTGACTTGAGACACCACTCCATCTCCTCCATCGCTGTGTGCACGCACTTCCACAACATACTCTCCATCCCTGGGGATTGGAACTTCTATGGAGTGCTTATGTGTTGAATACAGTTTGCCATCATGCTGGCCATCAGGTCTATAGAGTACCTTAAAAAGTCCCCAAATAAGTAAAATTAATAAAGTGGTAGCAATGAGTGAATGTCCTAACCAGAATATTCTTACACTTTTATTAATTAAATTAGTCCTGAGGTAGCTATTTATGATAATTTCTGGGAAATTAATGTTATTTTGCACTCACATAAATCAATTTCACCTATATTTTAGGGTTACCCAAGAGAATGTGATTTTTTTTTAGATAACCTAAAATAAAGACAGTAAAGAATGTATTTTTTAAAAGTAGGGCTTTTCCAGTATATTGAAGTACTCTAAAAAAATTGCTTTACAATTTAAAATGTTTTTCACATAATTTCTAACATTGAGTATACAATGAAAAATGTGATAGGGTGTGATATAGAGAATATATAGAAATAATATTTTTCTCTTTTTGTTCATTTTTAGATGGCAACTCAATGCATCAAAGAGTTCGCTGTGTGCTGTGAAGCTCTATCTTAGTCATTGTCAAACGAAAGTGGATTCTTTCTGTCTCTGTTCTTCAGGCATGATTATTCTAACAACTCTGTACTCTAACGCAGTTATTTTATCTTGCTCACATGATGCATCATTTTCTTAGACTGCACTGGGGACCTTTTCTCATTTCAAAATTTATCATAGCACCGTGCCATATTCTGTTACACAGCTAGAATGAGAAAACTGAATGGGTTTTCTAGAAGCAGCAAAAAGCCCAAACACCAGTCCTCTTTGTAAGAATGAAGCTTGTGTGAGGGAATACTCCAATAATCTTTTATCTACCTTATATCCTGTCACTGTAGATTCATTTGATAGTGCGACCACATGATCCCAGGTGATTATGTAGCGGGAACCAGACCTTATGGAACTGATGATCCTTGGCGGCTGGCTTGGAGCTGTGAAAAGTAATAATATGCAATTGACCATCACTATTTCCAGCTTCAGTTCTACAGGCTGTATGGTGTCAGGAATTATAACTCTGATGCTAATAATGTAACAATAGCAACAGCTAATTTTGATGATTGCTTCCTATATGCCAGGCGCTATGCTAAGTACTTTATAACCCTTGGTCCTGTGAGGTAGATAATATAACTTTTGTCATCCTCTCATCATCCTTCACTTGAGTTTCTTTTTGAACCAATCTTATGAAACTGCTGCTCTCAAGGTCATCAATTATAACCACTGAGCCACTTTAAATGGCAGCTTTTTAATTCTTTATTTAACATTTTTAAAGCATTTTATAGAATTGACCTGATTCTGTCTTGAATCTAATTTCCCCCCCTTAAATTCATGACCCTTTCATGTCTATTTCTGCCTCCAACCTCTCTTTCTCATCACCATGTTTGCTGCCTCCATATTCTCTGCTCAATTTTTACACGTTGGAATGACGTAGGACCTGATCATTAGCACCCTTCTGTCTTCTCTGCATCTCCCTAAATCTTACATCTGGACCATAGCTCTATGTACTTACAATGCTATCTCTAATCTCTAATTGCCATAAGCTCTAAACAATATGTGCAATTGCAGATCTCTACTTTAATGTTTCAAAGTCTTTTCAAGTGTAATAAAATCAAGATGGGATATCTGTACCGTACCCCCAGGTGTGCTTTTCTAGAAGTCTTTCACCATCAAACCCCCAGTTTCTCAGAGAAAAATCTAGTTATTCAGTTTTTCATTTCATTCATTGTCAACATCCAAACAAGCAGCAAGTTGTCAATGTTGCCTGCAGAAGGTGTTCTATTTCTCTCTGTTATTACTTAGTTCTGTCCACCACCATTTCTTTCCTCGACAAATTAACCTCCTGATTGGCTATTCTGCTTGCATTCTTATCCATCACTACCCACTGTCTATCTAGAATACAGAATGATTTCTTCCAGAAAATGTTAATTAGGTATTACTTTCAGCTTTAAACTCTTCCAATAGCTTTTTATACTTACAAATTACAAACTCCTTCTCCTTACTACAAGGCCATTCATATCTTGATGCCAACGTACTTCCCCTTCTCACCTCAGAACTTACATCCTGGCCCCACTGGCCTTTCTAGACTTAAACATATCAAACTCTTTCTGCCTAAAGGCTTTGCTCTCATTATTTCCTCTGCCTGAAACTCTCTCTAACCTCCCGCAGCCCCGTACTCACATAGCGGGTCCCTATTATTACTCATACCCAAGCACCAATGACATCTCTCAAAGAGGCCACTCCTGACTGCCCAATTGGAATTTGGTTCTTGCCCAAATCAGTTTGTTTTATCACCTGTTTATCACTTTATTATCCTACCATCTGATATTATCATGTTTATTTGCCACAGACTTAGTTTTATTTTTGTTTTGTTTTTCTCTCTCCTTCCAATACGTGGTAATCCCATGAGAAAAGACTATAAGACTAGTTTGATGTCTTCGGTATACTCAACACCTAGAACAGGCCACTTAGCATACTTTTGATGAATAAATAGATAGAAAAAAAAGAACAGAGAAGTAAATGTTCCTTTCACAAATTTGAAAACTGAGGTTTAAAGATGTGAAGTAATTTGTTTTATCATTACACATTTCTTTGAGTGGCAAAAACAGATCCAAACCCATGTATGATACCAAAGACTGGCTCTTACCACCATGTTCTTTTAGAAGTTCCTTTCCCCCCCCAATTAAACTATAAGTTTTTAATCAGATCTTCAATTAACTGCAAAACTCCCCGAATATAAATTCTCCTATTTGATATATTCAAATTGGTTTAAGAAAGAGATATCAAGATAAAGCAAGAGAGATGAGAATGACCAGATCATCTGAATAGGGTTTGCAATCTTGTTGTATGAGCAATGAGAGCATGTGGTGATAAGGGAGTAAATGCAGAAAGTTGTAAGTCAATTAAAAGAAGAAAAAAAGCAGAATTTGATCTGTTTCATGCTGTCGATGTATTTTTATGAAGTTTAAAATAATAAAACAGAATGAATAAAAATTAATTATCTAATGGTGGGAAATTTTGAGGGGAGTCATTTCAAAGGAAGGTTCTGTAATATTTTTCTAAAATGGAACATGAATGTATAAAGGCATTCCCCATATTTTTTCATCATTGACATTAACTGTCAAGTTTCTTTAAAGTTTTTGTGTGATTTTCATGGGAAAAAGAAAGAAAGAAATGTGCAAAGACTGCTAGGTAATAAATTTCTCTGAAATGTACCTTCATGGTGACTGAACCGATTGCTATTTTTTGACAAGGCTAAAATGCAAATGTTCAAACTCACGTGCTTTCTTGGTAAAAGTCTCAATCATCTCGCTGGGAGGGCCACACCCGGCACTATTGCATGCCCTGACGTCCACAGAGTATTGGGTGTCCGGCAGAAGGTTCTCCAGCCTGGCCGAGTACTCTTGGCTGTTGACTTGAACTCGGTGTGCAGCTGCCTCTTTGTCGTGAGCTGACCAGTACCGAATCTGCAAGCATTCAAGTTGAGTAACAGTTTGTCATGTAGATACTTAAATTGTGACAAGTTCTTTTCAGTTGACTCTGTCGCTATTGATTATTATATTCTAAAATATTTCTGAGTGCTATTTACATTTCTATCGGTCTTAGACCATAGCAAGGCTTACAATGCAGATGATTAAAGTTGTCAAAGAAAAAGCAAAGGCTCCCGTGATTGTTTTAAATAGTCCTACAATGACAAAAACAAAATAAAAATATCTGAATAAGATTTACCTTCAAAATGAAAAACCTTTCTGTGGAGGTATTTGCCACAATAATTTTTATCATCTATTTCATGCTTTATTTCTGTTCACATGACTTCAACTTTGTTATGAGCCATTGATAAAGCAGTTTGTCAGTAACACAACCTTTTTTAACAAAAATAATCATTATTTGGCCTAGAACACACCAGTGAAATAACGTCCTGCTATCTCATTTCAGTAGCATGAATATATATTATTTATTTTGAACCTGCATAAATGCCAGATATGAAAGAAATATTACACTTAACTACTTTATTTACCTTTAAAATAATTTTTTTAAAATTCTATCCATGGTGGGATTAGAAATGATTACTTTTACAAACCAAAGTATCAATGACAACCTTCTTTTCCTCTTAAAGTTTAAGTAAAAGCTATAAATTACAATTTTCATTCTTTAAATAAGATGTTTCCTTGGTCAGAAATCTATAATTATATCTTATAGTTATAAGTAAAAGGAAAAATTTTTTATAAATGTACTAGTATTTGACAAATTTTAAATGTCCTCTCTACAAAACAATGACATTTTAATTTCAAAATTAACCAGTGACTTACAAATAATATCTAACATTTATATAATCCTGAACTTTTCATTTACCTAAAAACATTATAAAATGGAACTAGATGGCTCAAATTCAACTGGTAACAAAGTGAGGTTTATGTGTAGAATGAATACTTCAGAACAAAAGCTTGCTACTAATTGCTTATTGGTTTCTTTTGGAGTCTTTTTATTTTGTTTACAATAGTATTTTCTGATCACAGTATTTTGATAGAATCTCTTTGGCATTTATGTTATCTGACCAAGAAGATGGCCCAGGCCAAGGACTGGAATTGCACCAAGTGGCTCCAGAGGCAGAACTTGGTTGGCACATTAAAGGCTTCCTAGCCTTAACCGGTTTGGCTCAGAGGGTAGAGCATCAGCCTATGGACTCAAGGGTCCCAGGTTCAATTCTGGTCAAGGGCATGTACCTTGACTGAGGATTCACCCAGTAGGGGGTGTGCAGGAGGCAGCTTATTGATGTTTCTCTCTCATGGATGTTTCTAATTCTTTATCCCTCTCTCTTCCTCTCTGTAAAAAAAAAAAAAAAAAAAATATATATATATATATATATATATATATATATATATATATATATATATATATATATATATATTAAAGGCTTCCTAAGGATGGCGCCCTCCTGGGGAAGACATGCATTTCTTGGGGCTGGAAGTACTCAGGCAGTGACTACACTCTGAGAAGGAGGAAGATGGCCTACATTTAGTGGATATTTTAACTAGGTGATACATAGGCTTCTTCCACTGCTTGACAAAGAAATAAAATGAACATTTACATTTCTAATACAATGCCAGGCACTGCTTAGGATTATCCACATATATCCTCTTCTCAACAAACCTAGGATGGCAGTCACTCTGTTTTATAGCAAACAAAACTGTAATCCCTGGTGCACATCCATTTTTGCAAGCATACTTGTTGAATGATTGTGTACCACAGTTTGAAGTCAACATTCCATGATAACATTTTATTCTATCCAGTTTGAGAGGAGAAGTTGTTAAACGAGGTTACTATAACAAAAACCATTTCTAAAGAATACTATGCACTAAAATGAGTGATAAAATATTTCTGCCATCATATCCAAAATTCCATGGGGAATTTTGTCAATGCAAAAGGAAAGACCGCTAATTGATATTTATTTCCCAATTTAAAAGTTTATATTCTGATTAAATTTATAAAACAGTCAATATACAATTCTTCAACAAAGACAACCTATCGATATAACCATCTGATATGTTTTTAACAAAGTAAAGTATACATTTAGCAATGTGACTAAATGAGTCGGTTATATATTAAATAATATATTCTTTATTCTTTTTATTACTTAGGAAAGAATCCTATCTTATAAAGAGGAAGTATGCAAATTGACCATCACTTCACCACAAAGATGGCAGTGCCCATAGCCACAGATGGCAATGCCCAGTCCTCTCAGCCCTGCTGGAGTCCCCTAGTCCTGGGGGGCAGCTGCTGAGAGCGGGCAGCATGAGCAGCCTGGCAGAATGATTAAGTTTTGTTGCTTGGACAATGAAGCAAGCGTTCCACTCTGGCCACAGAGTGCCTCTAGGTAGTGGGCACAAAGTGGAGGTGGTGGGGGGGAGGTAGAAACGCTTGCATCTTCACCCTTGCAACAAGGCAAGCATTCTGCACCCAGCATGGAGGGAGGGGCCTCTGGTGAGGCTGTGCACAGAATGTTTGCGTCATTGCCCCAGTGATAAAGAAAGCATTCTATTATACTCTCCGCTGTGGAGGGCTTCTAGCCAGGGAAGGCAGTTGGGGGCCATGAGGCCACAGGGGAAGGCTGTTTGGGTCATGAGGCCAATAGGGAAAGGCATTTGGAGACAATCAGGCCAATGAGGGTGCAATTGGGGGCAAGCAGGCCAGTGGGAGGGCAGTTGGGGGCGAGCAGCCCTGCAGGCAGAGTAGTTCGAGGCGATTGGGCAGGCAGGCAGGTGAGCGGTTAAGAGCCAGAAGTTGGGGATTATGAAAGGGATATCTGACTGCCGTTTGATGCCTGATCACACAGGGACATTCCTAGGCAATCAGACATCCCCTGAAGGGTCCCGGATTGAAGAGGGTGCAGACCAGGCTGAGGGACACCCCTTCCCTCATGCATAAATTTTACGCACCGGACCCCTAGTACTAATATAAATAAATAAATAAAATCCCATGGTCCAAAATAGCATTCAAACTCCAAATACTGATGTCTTCTCTTAAGATACCCTGGACTTGTTTGTTACAAGGGCTTATAACATCTGGTGAGTTTTTCTCCTCCATTTCTTTTCTAATAGCTGTAAATCTAGTTGTCAGCTCAATAAGTTATGAATACTGGGTCTTCTCAGTCCACACCTATTATTCTACTCTCTAAACTTCAGCTGAACTCTTTCGAAGATTAACTAAAGACACGTTGAGATCGACTCAAATCATAACCTACAGTCCCAAAAAAGAAAAAACCTTCCCGTCAGTTTGTGAGTTTATAGCTAAAAATGTGGGTGCGTTCTGTGGTTACCTTTCAGAATCATGGCTTTGAGAAAGCTAGGTTATAACACTTTATTTGATCATACTTCAGTATTTCTGTTAGCACCCGGAGAATATTTATTTAGTGCCTACGATGTGCCCAGCACTGTCTTGCACTGAGAACAAAATAGACAAAAGCCTGCCCTCATGAAACAAATACTCCAAGAACAGATGAAGACAGGGAGAACAAGAATTGAAAGGACAAGCTGTCTGGAGGTGGGGGTGGCGCGAGCAGCTTATTGGCTGCAGCTCCAGAGGGGTCCTAGCTGAGTACAACGTAAAAAAGTCTGTGGTTTGGCATAAAGCCTTGAACTTTGAATCAGATAATCTGAGTTTAGACACTGCTCTGAGGCTTTTCCTTAGTGCTAACTGAGGCACGTCATTGAATTTCTTTAGCACCCATTTGCTCATTTGCAAAGGTAAGATGATGCCAATTTTTTCTTACTTTTCACTGCGCTTAAAAATATGAGATGACTTCACTTTTCTTACACAATCAAGTGTAATTTTTAGCTCTGTATCAAAAACCCCAATTATGGTTGTAGCTTCAAAATTGTTTTAGATTTTACTCCCTTTGAATAAAACAAGTTTCCTTTCTATCTGGCTAACAAGTATTGATTCTTCAAGATCAGCTCAAGGAAAGTTTTCTTTAGGACATTTTGTGTGTTACCAATTATCTGTTTTCTTAGGTAACATATGAGACACATAGTGGGTATTTTATAGTTCTTTCCTTTGGAAATAGAACTACTGAGCCAAATAGGATGAAGAATTTAAGGATGCTTTTACAAATTACCAAAATGCCTTTTCAAAATACTTAAAAAAATTCACCTTTATGAGTATGTTTATCTTAACCATGGGTCTATTATCTTCGATTTTATTTTGGCCAATTTGTTTGTCAACATGTAGGACTCCAAATGTCTCCTAGATAGGAATCTCTGCTTTACTCTTAGCAATTAGCTTATAAATGCCCAACATATTAAACACAAAAAGTATAGGGGTAATGGCCATGTACATCAATGGGACACAAAACATTAAAAGATGAAATGTCGACATATTTATTTAGCTTGATAAAAATTGAACTCACCTGATAGCTTTCCACTATTTTCTCTACAACGTGCTCCCAATGAACAGATATCTCAGAAGATGACAGGACTTTTACGCCTACTTCTGTTGGGGCTTCACTGGGAGCTGAAATTTGATGAAAACATTATATTCATATATAAGATGTCTCTAATATAAAGTTCATATAGCTCCATAGGAATTTTAATATTGTAAATAGGTTTAATATTTCCAAAATAAAATAATTCCAATAATTTTATTACCTCTTTTTCTATTTTTCTAGTTTATTTTATGGTCATTGGTGACACATGCACACAGATATTCATATACACAAATGTGAATGTAAGACATACATGTACACATACATATACACATGCACAGACACTTTTAAAAAATATGAAAAGCTTCATGGGTTTGCCTGATATCTGTGAGCAAGAACAACACTACTTTTTTAATTTCTTCAAGGTAACCTGCTTAAGAAAGCCCGTGGATGTAAATTAAAATTCATTATATTTATCTTATTAACTCTACATGATCCAAAACAGGAAATTTGGTGTTCATTCGAATTAATTTTCAAGTTTCTCATACTTTCTACTTATATGAGCTAAAGACACACAGCAATACTGCCCTCTTTCTCTTTTATGCTTCAGCTAAGACTTTTCATTTTATTTTTAAGATCCTTTCAACAAGTTGTGACATCCACTGCTTCATGGGCTCGGGAAACTTTTATAAGCCTAATCTTTTATCTGGGCATCCATTCAAATATGTATCAAATCAGCCTCTGTTCAGTAAAAAAGAAAAAAGTAATTGACATCCCTTATGAAACCTACACAAAGAAACTAAGGAAAACTTTAAGCAGCAGTGATCAATTTTTATTGTCTTTTATTAACAAAACATAATCCTCTTTTATGTTAAAAATGTCCTGCATAAGAAGACTAACTTTCCAAACCAAGATAAATATGTAGTACTGTGATTCATTTCTTAGTAGTAAAACGGTGAACACATACAAGTTTCGGCACATGCAGGTTTTATGAGACTCATGAAACATTTAGGAGAGAAATTTATTTTATACAGATAGCCATAACTAAAGAGATGACAAGATTGTTTTTGCCCGATTACTTTAATATCAAATAAAGCAATAAAACATTGATGTTGAGTGGGAACATAACTTGTAAAAATGCTTTCTACTTTTATTTTCTCTGTGAGGTGTCCTCATGCTGTTAGATTATTAACATGTGCCATTATATTTCTGCTGAATCAGAACAAGCATAGAGAATGTCTTACTCAGGACTAAAAAGTCCTGAATTGGTTATAAACTTAAATAATTTCTGTTTTTTGTTATTTCTATGTGTTTAGTTAACTAACTTAAAGAAGTATATGTGTTTATACAGACACACATACATACATATATGATTTCTTTACATGTTTGTATTGGAAGAAAAAAATCATGAGATGATTTCAATACGTACACATTAATTAGAGCCAGTATTTATATTTTTATCCCTAAATAGACTACTAAATTGTTATCTTTTCAAGGAAAAAAAAAAACTTCATGTGGCTTTCTGACTCCTTTAGCATAGAATTATGCACAGATTCCCTTTAATAAAATTCTAGCACTCTATTTTAATAACAAAATGTTATATAAGTGCTGAAATTACACAAATTTATTTAAAAGAGGGTAAATTTTACCAAAAAAAAAAGTTAAAGAATTTCTAAATAGGAAATCTCATGAATGCACAGACATACTAAATTTCTAATCAAGTATGGAGAACTTCTGATGGTAAAATTATAAACAGAAGGCCAGGAACAGGGAGTCTAAGCCAGCTATTTTCATAGCGATATCCTAATTACTATAAAAACGATTAAAAAAAAAAGAAGAAGAAGAAGAAAAAGTTTTTGCAACATTCTTGCCATTGGTGTGGAGAGATTAACATTTTAATTTGGCTTAAAATAATACTCATGTACTACATGTATAGTGTCACAAAACATATCCTAATAAGTAAGGTTCAAAAGACAGCAAATGAAATGCCTGCCAGGGAATATATAGGTTCTGCCCCTCGTCGTGGGAGTGAGGTCTCACTTTTACCTACCGTCTTGCGCTGAATTAATGACTGCTATGAGGCTGTATGGTCCATCTCCTTTGTTGTTGAAGGCCTTGACTTTGACTTGAAACGCACTGAAAGGCCGCATGGTCTCATCTTTATGGACATACCGTCCAATATCTGGATTTGTCACCGTAACTTTTTTCCATTCATCCCCATCAAATGGCTTAAATGCTACTATATAACCGAAATTGTTGCCATAGTGGTATTCTCTTGACAAAGGCTAAATAGATATTGACATATTAAATAGGTGTAAGCAATACATTTAACAAAAGGAACAATCTTATACCAATAATAATTAATAATAATAATAATACTACACACGGAAGCATGTTTTTTTGTAAAAAACATATACTTAGTTTGTAAGTTAGGGCTGTCGAAAAATTCTAGGGTAAAACATGTGATGACTTCACTTTCCAAGACTGCTATTCTTGGAACATTCCTTGGGGTGGGGGTGGGGGGTCCCACTCTGGGCCTTTGTACTTTTAGTTCCTTCTACCTGGTACCTCGGATACTCCTGCTTATGATAGAAGATCTCCTCTCTCACTTTCTTGAGGTAAAAGTCACTTATTTGTTTTCCCTGGTCATTTCCACACTCTTTCTATAATACTCCATTATCTCACTTCTCTGCTTTATTTTTTTTCCTCTTTATCTCTATCATAATATATTCCATGTATTTTACTTATTATCTGCTTTAAAGAGGGCAAAGCTTTTGTCAGTTTGATTACCTCTCTAGCCCATTGTGCTAGAACTAAACCTCAAGTAGTATTTATTCGATGAATGAATAAATTAATTTTAGGGTTGAAAGACAGTGATGAAACTCTGGAATATCTGTCTTGTAACCAAACAATAGAAACTGGCGAGAGGAAAAACAGACAGAAGGCAAAAGGAGGAAGGGCTAACATTGCACTCATCTCCGACTGGCTTTGGGACATTCTGACTCCAGTGCTGAAGTAAATGTTTAGTTTTGCATTATTCTCTCAGAATTTCTTCAATTGCCCAATAAAGAAATCTGTGTTAACATGCCAGTTCATTATTTGTAAACACTGGCTTACTGCTAATTCTAGAGAATACTAATGATTTAGTCATCTTTAGCTAATAAGGGAAATGTGCAAATTGCATATTTATAATTTTTTTTTCACCAGAAAATCCAACTTAAAATGTCTCAAGGAAAACTCTTAAATTAAATATAACATGGCAACTTGAATATACCTATATTTAACATGAATACATAAAAATGAATAAAGTTCAAAGAATAGAAGAAGTTGAACAGGGTTGTATGGTATACAGTTGAACTACTTTGGGGGTCAGAGGTGCTGACCCGCTGGTTCAGTAAAATATATGCATGTAACTTTTGACTCCCTAAAAACTTAACTACGAATAGTCACTATTGACTGGAAATCTTACCAATAACAATCTATTGATTCATACATATTTTGAATTATGTATTCATACATATAAAGAATACAATTATATTGTATTTTTTAAAAAGTGAGAGAAAAGAAATGTTAAGAAAATCATAAGGAAGAAAAAATACATTCACTGTATTTATTGAAAAACTGTGCATAGTAGTGGACTTGGGCAGTTCAAAGCCATGTTGCACAGGAGTTTACTATAGACATCCTGAAACATGACCCCAAGAATATACAAAATGTGATTTTAGATTTTTAGAGTATCTCAGGTATAGCCTAACATTACCATAATAGTTTAAAGTGATTTTTATTGCTAGTTCTCTACTTAGTTTATGTAATAAAAGTATAGCAGATCGCCTATAGAGCTTTCAAAAATTCCAGCCATTGTGGTTCAGTGGTTGAGTGTTGACACATGAATCAAGAGGTCGCTAGTTAGATCCTCTGTCAGGGCACATGCTTGGATTTCAGGCTCAATCCTCAGTAGGGTGTTGTAGGAGGCAGCCGATTGATATTTCTCTCTCATTGATGTTTCTATCTCTGTGTCCCTCTTTGTTCCTCTCTAAAATCATTAAAAACATATTTAAAAAATTAATAATTCTCAGGCCTTATTCCCAGAAACTTTATTTCAGCTTTTTGAATAAGATTTCTAATGCTGAATTATTTTTTTTTTACAAACTCCCCAATTTATCCCAAAGCAGATATCCAAGAACATCAAGTCTTTAAAAAAAAAAAAAGTAACATGTTCTTATTTTTTTATTTTCTTCAATTTTATATGTTACATGGACAATAAAGTTTACATGAAACAATTTGATATATGGACAAGCGAAATACATTTTTTTTCTAAATCTTACTAAAAAATGTAATTTAAGTGCCAAGTATAAAATGTGACTACATAGCAAAGAGTAAAGTAAATTTTTGCTAAATATCTACTTTTATATAAACCATTTTTTTGATGAAAAGAATAATACCTGATATTTTTCATGTAGTTTTTGAAATCATATAGAGCCTAGGTTATATTATTTTACTATCTGCAGTGATTAAATACTGATATTTTAAATGAACACATGGAGCTGGATAAAATATGGTAGGTAGACATACGTCAGATGTCCATGTCAGACAAGTTGATGTTTCCCCATCCCAGCATCTCTCTCACTTCAAAATTTCAGCCACGATGCATTGTTTTTCAGACATTACAATCTCTGATGTGGAGCTTCCCTTTGGGTTTTAAAAATTCAATACAACATTTTCGATACCTCAATAAAACACAGTTGGAAGACTTTTGGGACTGACCTGTCATGACTGATTGCACTTATTGATCGAAGTATGTCTCAAGTGGGAAACAAACTCCAATTAAAAATTAGGTACTGATATAAAAAACTTTTAAACCAAATCTTTGGAGTTTTGAATGTCCAGGGAAAAAATTTACAGTTGTGTTACCAGGTCACAATGAGTTAAAAAAAGAAAAAAAGAAAAAAGTCTGGAATCAGATAGTTGAAAGTCGGTTTAATCTTTTGGCCGACAGTTCCCTCAGCATAAAGAATCTATTTCTGCACACTAACCCTTAGTAAGCCAGGAGAAACCTGACATATATTAAAAAAAAAAAAAAAAAAAGACAGTTTAGTAATTTATTTTACCTGTCGTTTGGGCATTGTCTTTTATTTCAATTTATTTTAGGAAACAAAATTGGTTTGAGACTAGGTCCAGGTAAAGCAGCCTGTAATAAATACAATTTGTGGAGACTCACCGCCCATGTGATGGTCAGCTCTCTGTTGCTTCCTCCTCCACCTCCTACATCTGAAGGCGCCACATTAGGTGCTGAAACAAACAAGCAAACTAAGTAGCAAACCACAAAATGTATAGGCTACAGAATGATTTTTCTGATATTAGAGTTCTTATTCAATACATAAACTGTACAGTTTTTTTCTTTCGCTGGGAAAGACAAACTACACATGAGATCCCCTCAATGATAACAACTAGAGGCCTGGTTAATGGATTTGTGCACTGTTGGGACCCCTCAGCCTGGCCTGTGCCCTCTTGAAATCTGGGACCCCTGGGGAAATGGCAGACTGCCAGTTTTGGCCCGATCCCTGCAGATCCACGCCAAGTGGCAGGTGGCTGGGGAAGAGCCCGAGTCCGGGCTGGGCACTGTGCTGCTCCCTCTCATACTGGTTAGAGGCTCATGCCTCCACAGCTACACTCTCCAGCCGTAAGCCCAGTGACTGGCGCCCATTGGTGAGCTGAGCAGTGCTCCCACTGTGGAGGCACACTGACCATTAGGGGGCAGCTCCCGCATTGAGTGTATTTCCCCTGGTGGTCAGTGCACATCATAGCGACCAGTAGACAGGTCATAATAGTCAGTTAGGCTTTTATACATATATATATATAGATGCCTCACTGTAGCTATAATAACCTATTTTACTGCCCTGATAACAACTGATTCAATGCCATACAAATGTGCCAGCTTTCTGTAGCAATGGATAGCAATATAAATTTGCCTCCCCCATCTTCATTTAAAAAATGTTTTCTGTATCCTTTCATTTAATATGATTTTGAAAGATTAATTGTACTTTGTTGGAAAATATTTCAGAGCTCTTGGACTACCTAATGACTAACGGATGTGTTAGTTTTATACTTCAATCTACAAATAACTTAAGAAATGGTGCATATGCATTAACATAGGATAATCTTCCCCCAAGATACCTGGAAATATTAGAAATATAATATTGTTTCTTGTGCTCCCACTTCTAATTCCTAAAACTCTTCTGGAATATTACCCCATCAATGATCCCCAACTCTCCCCAATCCCATCTTTTTGTATCAAAACTTCAGTTTTCAGTCTCCCTACTTGACTCTTTGCAATCTCTTCATCCTTAAAGTCATCTTGTAATACTGTTTTCTCCTTAGTCTCCAAGCCATCACACCCTTTCCTGCTACTAAACAGCAAATAAGAATGAATAGATAATTATTTTTTTACTCCATAATCACGTTTTAACAACCTATAACTGTTTTCCATGTCATATTTCTGAAATCATTCTCCCTCAAAGTCACAAAATTGCTTATAACTGCCAAGTTCAATGGCCTCTTCTTTATTTTTTTCTCCAATGACTTACTCCTTAAAAGTCCTTCAGGGTAGGTGCTGTATTTTACTGGGTTTGGATACTGCATTTTACTGTAAGCTGTATTTCATTGGATTTGCATCTAATTGGAATTGTACAGACATTAAGCATAGTTGTCCCTGAACTTGAGGTACTTGGAGACCAGCTACCCAGCTACATCAAAGCAAGCTGTTCATTTACCAAATTTCAAACCCTGACAAATAATTGTGATTCAAAGATGGATACTTCAAAAGTCCTCCTAATATTAGCCACATAAATTCCCTGGTGAATTATATACATTATTTGTTCATAAACAAAATGCATGTTTTTCTTTAGACTTGTAAAACTATATCATGATTTCTTTTTCTGATGGAGAAATTTATCTGAAGTTGGAGAGATTTTTAATACTCAACTGTCACCATATGAGTGATAGAAATGAAATTAAATTCACAGATGTTAAAAGATAATCTCCTTGTAGCACTTTAGATAAAACTCAGATTGAAGGCTGGGATATTAAATAACTTCTAGAAATGCTTTGAACCCCATAACTCATATTCTGAAGTTAAAGCTCTCCATGCTATAAACAAAGAACATGCTGTGTTGTATTTAATGAACAAATCAAATTTTGTGTTTAACTATACCTACAAGTATGGTGGCCAGAGGCAAATATTCTCAGAAATAACCATCACAAGCAACCTATTGCACTGCAATTTATTTAATTAAATATTGCCTTCACCAAGACAACTATTATTTTTCAAATCATTTAATTGTACTGCTTTCTAGTATAACTAATATTAACCTTTTTATTTAGAACAGACCCAAATAATGGAGTATATTTACATTATGTTGAATATTTCTTTTTCCATTTTAAAATGTTTACCTTCTACTCTTTTTAATAGCCTTCAAATAACTAACTCAAGATTGATTTTTCTTTTCAAAACTTACCCATTGAACTCAGGATGCTTAAGTAGTAAGACAAGCAAAAGCACAAAAATAAAAAGAACTATATGTCTTAATAGAGTGTTTTTATAACTTTCTTGGATAAAATATTAAGATTCCTCCATTTAGCTTTGGATGTGCAGTCGGTGTCTTAGCTGCTAAGGGACAGTATTCCACAGGTGGAAGTGACACAGCCTACACATCTGACAGGAATCTGAGAAGAGAGCAGCTCAGTGTTCCCCATTAGCTTCCGGCCCTGCAGGACCAGGAGGTCTTGGCCAAATAGAGATTCCTTTCAGGGAAGTAAATCACCAGAAGCACAAAGAAGCTTATTTAACTTTGGGCTCTAGGGCATTTAGCAGTGAACAAACTAGACATTTTCTTAACAATAAATCATTTTTAAAAAGGATTTAAACAAATATTTAAGAAAAATACAGAATTACTGAATTAATCAGGAATAAACAATATTTATAATTTTACTATGAAAGGTTAAAAATAGTGATTTTTTTTAACTTGTCCTTTTGCCATGATTTCAGTCTAACAGGGATCCCCTAATGCTGTTTATAAGAGTGTTTCTATATTTCTAAATATATCGTAAAAGAAATAGATCTAAAATATATCTTAAAAGAAGACCAAGCCAATGCCCTGGCTGGTTTTCTCCCACCCACCTCCCCTCCTACCCCCACCCCCCCATGGAAAGAAACTAATGCAGCCAATTTTACTGTTAGGTTTGAATGTTTAAATAATTTGAAAATAAGTACAATAGTCCCCCATTATCTATTCACTTTCCTCAGTTTCAGTTGCCGATGGGCATTTGCAGTGCAAAAATATTACATGGAAAATTCCAGAAATAAACAATTTATAAGTTTTTTGTTCTTTTACAATTTGTAAGTTTGAAATTTTGCTCTGTTTAAAACTCTTGTTTCATGTGCATATGTGTGTTGAGATAAAACCTCTTGTCCTGCTAGGATATTAATCCTCCCTTTGTCCAGCCTAAACACACTGTATATACCACCACCCTCCCATTAGCCACTTAGTAGCCTTCTTGGTTACCAGATTGTAGTGGTATTGTAGTGTTGAGTTTAACCCTTTATTTTTTTTTTAAAGAGACTCAAAACTATCAGCTAAATAATGCTCTAGAGCCTAGAAAACTAGGGGGATGAAAGTCTTACATCTGCTTTTTTCTGTCTTTAAATGCATATTCTTTTTGGAGAGGTATTAATAAAGTCAAATGAACTATATAATATTTGTATATTTAAATGAGAATAACTCTTTTAAAAATTATATTTTATTGATTTTTTACAAAGAGGAAGGAAGAGAAATAGAGAGTTAGAAACATCAATGAGAGATAAACATTGATCAGTTGCCTCCTACACACCTCCTACTGAGGATGTACCCGTAACCAATATACATGCTCTTGACCGGAATCGAACCTGGGACCTGTCAGCCTGCAAGCCAATGCTCTATCCACTGAGCCAAACCGGTTTCAGTGAGAACAACTCTTTTTAGTTCTTTTGATCTCTTGGTCTGATGGTGGAACACACTGTTAACACACTAAATGTGTCCACCCTGTTAAAATCAGTTCTTTTCCATAGTAGGTAAAAAAATATACTGGCCAAGATAGTTCACAATAACATGAGTGTCTTAGGAACTTAACAGTCTGAAATTTTAAGTTTGTTTATTTATCTAGTCTTCATTCTCAAACAGAATTTTTAAAAATTTCTTTCACATCTCTTTTGTACAACATATTATTTATTTATTTAAATTATAGTTTACATTCCCTTTTTTCTTCTACACATAATTTTGAGCACCAATTATGAACCCTGTGCTGAGTTAAGCACAAAAGATAATAATATGAATAAAATCTGATTACGTTCCTGAAGAAGCTCTCTTTTAGAATAAATTAAATAAGTACAACTAATTTAAATTCAATCTAACAAATTCCCTAATTCATGTAAGTTTTCTCAATGAATAAAGCCCATTTTAATAAAAGACTGGTTTAGACCTTAGAAATGGTTTTTGCACACCACACCTAATGGGATACTTAGATCAACACTTGGGAGTAAGTATAGTTGACTCTTGGACAACATGGGTTTGAAGTGCTTCTTTTTTAATATGTTTTTATTTATTTCAGGGAGGATTGGAGAGGGAGAGAGAGAGAGAAACAAAAGTGATGAGAGAGAATCATTGATCGGCTGCCTCCTGCACACCCCCTACTGGGGATTGAGCCCACAACCTGGGCATGTGCCCTGATGGGGAATCAAACCGTGACCTCCTGATTCATAGGTCAACACTCAACCGCTGAGCCATGCTGGCTGGACTGAATTGCTTCTTTTAACATATTTTACTACTAAGGACAGTAACTAAGGCTAACATATACCTTTCTAACTAAAAAATATATTCTCATCACCAGTCCTCTCCTTTATCAAACATATCTTTTTAAAAAATATATCTTTATCGATTTCAGACAGGGAGAGGGAAAGAGAGATAGAAACATCAATGATGAGAGAAAATCATTGATTGGCTGCCTCCTGCATGACCCCCACTGGGGATCAAGCCTGCAACCTGGGCATGTGCCCTTGACCAGAATGGAACCCGGGACCCTTCAGTCCACAGGATGATGCTCTATCCACTGAGCCAAACCAGCTAGGGCAAAGCATATTTTTAAAAAGTTAAAAAAAAAACACTAATTAAATTAAATAACATAATAGTTTCATTAAATGTGAAAATAAAGCTCTGTATATAGTATGAAGTGTTGATTCTGATATTAGGGTTTTTCTTTTTTCTTTCTGGGGTTGATCAGGTAAATAAATGCCAAAGCTGTCAACCTCACCTGAATGCACTGTTTTAGGATATCAACTCACTAACCGCACCAGCAGATCGATTAGCTATGAGGACACGTCTTGGGATGACACATTACTTTGAAGGGAGCTTTTGTTATCTCTTTCGTACAGTCAAAAACAAATGGGTTATAAGGAATTACAAACACATCTTCTAATTCTTCATTTGGGAGCCATCCATTTTATAATGCACTTGTCTGAATCCAAAGAATATACCCAACTGTGCACTGTAATCTGAACATTAAGTAACTGGACAGATAAGGGCATGTGCTGCACTAGATAATGCCACGTCTTTCAATCAGCACAATGAGGGCTTTATTCCACATAACATCTGCTGGCATCTGCTGGAGGATTGCCATAATGGGACATGACAAGACAAACATCCCCCTGTTTTAGAAAGTATTTTTGTTTTCTTGCAAGGATGATGCATATAAGGGTCCAATTATATGCATATTCAATCTTTTGAAAGCAAGTTGAAAGTAAAATAAGTATAGAGAAAGTTGGTTAAGTGGTATTATATTAAATATACAAAATGATTCCAGTAAGGTGACTAGACATTAGATGAAATTAGATGATCCTCTGTGATGCTTATGAAAATAGAAATATATTGCACAATAAGGTGATCAATTACAGAGTCAATAATATTTTTATAAGCATATAAAAGTTTAAAAGCAGCACTAACAGCATAATAAATTTTATTAAGTAAATATTATGTACTAGACAGTATTAACTGTTTTTATTACATGCCTTTATTTTTTATTTTTAATTAAATTTATTGGGGTGACATTGGTTAATAGGATCATATTGGTTTCAGGTGTACATTTCTATGATATATGATCTGTATATTGCATGTGTGCCCACCACCCAAAGGCAAATCTTCTTTTATCACCATATATTAGAAGCCCATTGCACAAAATTCATGCATGGTGGTGGTTTGTAATCCCTCAGCCTGGCCTACACCCTCTTGAAATCTGGGATCGATGGCTCCTAACTGCTCGCCTGCCTGCCTTCCTGCCTGCCTATCTGCCAGATCACCCCTAACCACTTGCCTGTCTGCCTGATCACCCCTAACCACTCACTTGTCTTCCTGATCATCCCCAATGCTCTCCTGCCTGTCTGGTTGCCCCTGACTACTCTACCTGCCGGCCTGATCACCCCTAACTGCTCACCTGCCTGCTTGATCACCCCTAACCTTCACTGCCTTAGCCCCTGCTACCGCAGCTTTGTCTGGAAGGTCATTCTGCTGTCTGGTCTAATTAGCATATTATCGATTATTATAGATTACTCTTCCCCTCTGGAAACCACTATACTGTTGTCTGTGTATGAGTTTTTATTCGTTTTTCTTGTTTGTTCATTTGTTGCTTTCAGTTTTATATTCCACATATGAGTGAAATCATATGGTTATTAACTTTTTCTGTCTCATTTATTTCACTCAGCATGATATACTCAAGATTTATCCATGTTGTCACAAATGACAGTATTTCATCCTTTCCATGGACAGTTTTGTACTTCAGAAATGTGTTCAGATAACATGTAGTTTATATTATATTAGTAAAGAAGACACAGGGGTAAAAATCAAGCTCAATGAGATTTTTAAAATGTGTGTATTTAAAGCAAATATGTTATAATTTTTAAATGAAACAAGTTTACTTAGACTAACTTCATTACTTGATTATTTTTCTGTTTCATTTTGAAATGAATACTTGTTAAATCAAATTAAGTGCATTATCTCTTGACATGAAATTATATGGTTAAAACCTCTAGTCAGATCATGTCTCAGTTTCTTTTCTTTTCTTTTCTTTTTTTTTCAGAAAGGGCAGCTGTGTTCAGTCCATCACAACAGAAACCTCTATTACAAACATAGGAAGCTGTAGTGAATATAAGTAAAAACCAAATACAAGGATCCTGGCTATATGATATCTGTGATCTATAAGACATCAACTTATATTACCTCTGTAGCCTAAAGAGATTTCTGTGAGGTAGAGAAAAGGGAACAACCTTATCTATTTTAAAACAACAAAATGTAATATTTAAGTTATATTTAGTTTCATAGTTAAGGATTAAATCTAAGCTTCTGCTAGAAGTCTAATAACATCTCATATAAATGGCTGCATTTTTAAGTGTGAAAATAGTGCATATGCTAGTGTTTTTTTCCTTTATTACAGCATCATCATTTTTAATCTGGTAAATTACATGAAACGTTAAGAGATCAATGAAAATCTTGTGACTGATTTGGTTTTAAAAACTACAGACTAATACTATTTAGAAGTTAGGTCACGGAATGAGATAGCCAGAAATGTGTATAAGTGATATTAAGATATTAAAGAAGAAATCTAATGATAATCTGTCATCCATTTAAAATCTCCTAAATAAAACACTGAAAATAAAATTTTGGCAAGGCATAGTAAAAATAAGCAAACTCAGAGAGCATAAAAATATTTTCTTTTTTAGAGATAGGGAATAATAGAAAAATAGCTATTATTAGAATAAGAACAATATTTTTGCCTTGTAATGCAGGGGAAAAGAAAATAGAGTAGAATCCTTCTTGTACTGAACACTACTTAAATGCAGTTGGTATTTAGCATAAAAAATATGCTAGGGAATAAAATAAAGTTACATTTTTATAATTATGTGAATTTATTACCTTAATCAGAGTTTGTGTACTTCTGTCTTTTCATTTCAGCTTGAAGAGCTCCTTTCAGTACTTCCTGTAAGGCAATTCTGTGGTGGTAAACTCCCTAATATGTTTGGCTCAGTGAATATAGCACGGGCCTGCGGACTGAAAGGTACCGGGTTTGATTCCGGTCAAGGGCATTTACCTTGGTTGTGGGCACATCCCCAGTAGGGGGTGTGCAGGAGGTAGCCAATCGATGTTTCTCTCTCATCGATGTTTCTAACTCTCTATCCCTCTCCCATCCTCTCTGTAAAAATCAACAAAATATATATATATTTTTTTAATGTGAACCTATATTAAAAGAACAGCCAATTGAGCAGTGATGAAATAGCATAGTGAGAGTGACTCCTAATATTAAAAAACAAACAACACATTATAGCTATTTCTCAGAGATGCTATGACTCTCCAAGTGGTATAGATCTGAGAAGTCCTCATCACATCCTCTCCACTCCTCACTCTCCCTATCCTTACTGTCCACACCATCCATCCAACTATAAATGTGTTTGAGAGACACACAAAACTGTGAACTTTCTAAATCATAATCCATCAATAGTCTGCCTGGTTAATACTCACAATTTATATTAATGTTTATATTCTAAATACCAATTTCACTTAAGTGGCATATGCAGTAGTTTCAATTTACCTCTTTCCCTATGTTAATTATGTAAAGACATTCTTCAATTTCATTTTTTTTAGGGTCTTGATATAAAATGCACACACTTGGTCAAATACATATACACACAGAGTTTGGATGAACCACTTACCTCAGAGCATGATTTCTTTCCAAATACATTCAACTACATATTAAAGTGGCATTGTATATATAAGTCTTCTAAACTTTAAAAAAGCTTCTCTTACATACCAGCACCATCAGTTCTAATTTTGTTTGACGGTATACTGGGCTCTCCTATACCCAATGTGTTGGTTGCTACCACACGAAACTCATATTCCATCCATGGGATTAAATCAACTGCTTTTGCCGCTTCCATATTTCCTTCAATAATTGGGGGATCTAAATAAAATGAACATTAAATAGAGAATATTATTTGAAGAACATAATCTTTATAATATCCCATTTTTATTTTACTATTTTAAAAAATCTTTATTGTTTAAAGTATTACATTTGTCCTCCTTTTCCCCCCCATGAACCCCTTCTAGCCTGCCCTTGACCCCCCATCCCCACCCCAGGCCTTCACCACCCTATTGTCTGTGTCCATGGGATGGATGGATATATATGTATATATCAATTCTTTGGTTGATTTCTTCCCAATCACCAACCCCTGCCATCCCTCTAAGATTCCATAGTCTGTTTTATTATTTTAAGAAAATGTCATATATTTCATTGGGTTGACGTGAAAATAAAAACAAGGAATGACAAACTGTTAAGTTCAAGAGAATAAGAGGGAGGGTCATCAATAAATAATAAACTACAAAGAGTAATATGCATCTGAATCATATATTCACCAAGTCTAAGGTAGGACGTTTGACTACCTCCCAGGTCATGGCAGTGCTGGTAGTCCACAAGCTATACTTTGAAGAGCAAAGAGTTGAATCGTCAAGTAGAATCTAGGAAGGTTTCTGAGGCAAGGGTACAATTGAGGCAGTGAAAAATTTAGTGGACTGCCTCTAATGTAGAGTATAGGTAGTGCATTATTTATTATTAGGACACCTATATGTTGATTAGTTGGTTTTTTAGATTTATACCCAAGTCATTTGGGGCAGAGAGAATAATAAATCTATATTATAAAAGGCCAGCTGCCGTAATGCCATAATGCTGGAACAACTAAACAACCGGTCACCAGGAGGTACATGGAGCACCTCTTGGTCCCTTCCCCTGGGGCTCAGAAGCCACTTGTGGTGATGATGGTGTGGGGGGAGGAGGGCTCATGCTGCATGGAGGGGCTCACAGGTCATACAGCGCGGTGGCTTGTGGCTACTTGCACACTGCAGGTCTGGGGTCCTGCTGTTTGGTGGTTCTAGGTCTCACATGATTTCGTGCACTGGGCCTCTATTGTTATAATAATTCATTAAGATTTATCAAGTCCTTTTTCTAATTCATGCTTCTAGTTGCCAGATACTAAAGGGAAGATTATAAATAATGGGTTAGATATGTTCTAACATTGCTTGAGATATGATAAACCATGCAACCTGGGCAGAATTATACATTATTTTAAACTCTCTTAAAATATTTCCATATGTATTTTTAGTAATTTGCCTACTCATACATATGCATGTAAATACCTGTACAACACTTATGTGGGGATTTTGTTTCTTTAGTCTTGTCTATGACTCATTATCTTGTTAGTTAAGGATTTTTTATCTCCAATGCAGACCATGAATACACACATCTTTAAAATATTGTATCATCTCCACAATAAGTGCTAAGCATTCCAGTGTACAGTCTATACGTTTGGACAAATTTTTGTATGAGTCAGACTATCCCATGACTCATCTTGCCATAGTTTTAAGCCTCTTGGACATTAATTTTTGCCATCAATTCTCTTCTTGTTAGGAATTTATTCTATATATTTGACACATATTTTTGACTTTCTGATTAAAAGTTTGGCTTTGCCTTCCCCTCTGTTTTGATCCTGCTTCTTTATCTCCTCTACCTTCCTTCATACAAATCAAAAATTTTTGTCTTCGTTTATATACATAAGGCACTTTTTTAGGTAATTGGAAGAAGGAAGGTGATGTTTTGGTTTGCAAAGGCTTCTTCATGGAGAAAAAGGAAAAATAGAGATAGTTGCTAAGACACTGGGTAGGGTGGCCTCTCTTCCATCTCATATACCCTTTTAACTTCCAGTAAAAGGAGGGTCTCTAGTGATTTGATGGTAGCCACCAAAAAGACATGTCTATGTTCAAGTAATCAGAACCCATAAATGTGACCATATTGAAAAAAGTCTTTGTGGAGCCTTTTAATACTGGAATAAAGTTAAGGACCTTGGAATAAGATCATCCTGGATTATTTAGATGGGCTTTAAACCTTGCCTTATAAGAGAAACAAAGAGGAGGGAAATATAGAGAAGAGCAGGATATAATGTGATGTGGCCAAAAGGCAAGGAACATTTGGAGTCACTGGTAGCTGGAAAAGACAAGGAATGAATTGTTCCCTAGGGCAATTGGAAAGGGTGTAGCACTGCATACACTTTGATTTTGGACTTCTGATGCCCAGAAATGTGAGAGAGTAATTTCTGTTGTTTTAAGCCACCAAGTTTGTGGTTATTTGTTATGGCAGCCACAGGAAACTAATGCAGAAGTTTAAAGGCAGAAGTTGGTGGAACTCTTTGAGATTTTGTAATTTTATGAGATTGGGGAATCCAAGTGTAAGCGTGGTAGATGTCTGAAGGAGGCAATCTGACCCTCCCTTGATTTCTATGTTGCAAAACCTCAGCACCATTTATATGCCTGGAGAGTTGAATTGTTGGTACTATTCCAAAGGATTCTCTTGGCAAGAGCATGGTGTTCTCATGGTGAGAGTTGCAATGGGACTTTTCCAAGCAACTGGCCAATCAACAGGTATAGGCAGGTGTAGGCTGGGTCAGAACAGGAAGAACCAGATGGATGTGCAGTGGAGACTGCAGCTGATAGACTGATTTGAGAATTTGTGAGAATCCAACATGAAAATACCCCCTCAAAAACGGAAGTTCAGGGATATGTTCAAGGAGTAGGAAGTCATACTTAACCACAGAAAATATTTGGAGAAATGGTGATACGGTAGTAAAAGTCAACTGGGTTCATTTTGTGGTAGCCTTTGTATTCCAGGTGAGAAGTAAGACCAGTGACTTTACTAGGAATGACTACAATGAAGAAAGGAAGAATAAGCAAAAGGCCTTGGAGTTACTAGCATAAGATGATACACCTCAGTGGGAAACCTTTGGCCCAGTGATACAAATAATGCTTCAAGAGAGGAAACAGGATTGGATGTTAGGAAAAATGTATCCTCTGAATTATTAAGAAATAATTTGATATCTATAAGTTAAGATTAATATTCTCAACCAGGATTTCTAAAGGTGTGAATACTGCCCTTTTTAGAACAAAACCAATTACAATAATTATTTAATATATACATATATAAATATATATATAATTTTATTTCAGTGAGGAAGGAATAGGAAGAAAGATAGGAACATCAATGATAAGAGAGAACCATTGATTGGCTGCTGCTTGCACACCTACTCTAGGGATCAAGCCACCAACCTGGGAATCAGACTGAGACCTCCTGATTCATAGGTCGATGCTCAACCACTGAGCCATAATGGCAGAGCCAGTAATTCTTATTGATATGCATTAACATCAGTACTTATGGGAGTATAAATATCTCAAACAAACATGTTTTTAGTATTCTGTATAATAAAAGCCTAATATGTTAAGTGCCAGTCATCCATGCAACCAAAGTATAATATGCCAATGATATGCTAAGGCTGCCCAACCACTTACTATGATGTGCAATGATTGCCAGGGGGAAGGTGCTCAACGCAGAAGCTACTTCTGATGGTCAGTGCACTTCCACAGGGGAAGTGCCATTCAGCCAGATGCCAGGCTTATGCCTGGCGAGTGCAGCAGCAGTGGTGTGACCCTCTCCTGCCTACACATCAGCTCTAAGGATGTCTGACTGCCAGCTGAGGCCCACTGCTCCTGGGCTCCTGAACTGGGAGAGAGTGCAGACTGGGCTGAAACCCCGCTTCCCCTGAGTACACAAATTCCACGCACCATGCCTCTAGTATGTTCATAATATTCACCCAATAAAACTATATGTATATAAGAAGTCAGGATAAGAGCAAAAACATGACTAACATATATCAATTAAATAATGTGTCTGGAATTTAAAGTGGATCTTCTATCTGGCTTGCTTTTTTTTAAACCAGATTGTAACAGGAGTTTTGATCCACACCACATCAAGATAATAGGATTTAAATCTTGTGTTCTCTCTAACTTATTCTCAACTCTAATCTTGAGGTAGGTAGCCCATATAATTATTACAGATGGAAAGTCAAGACTGGTGGTATCCATAAAAGCCCCACAGACAAAATATTTCTTTTGCTTCATCCTCATTCGTTCATTTATAGCTATCATTTGAGTACATATACATGTTTTACCTCTAACACTCTTTTTTGTTTTGTTTTGTTTTCTTCTGAGCCCTAATATCCCTATAAATGACGTTTACCTCATGCACTCTTCTCTGACCCCTTCAGCCTTAGGAGGACCAGTTGGATACATTTTCTTTTCCTAGCACCATCCCACAGAATGGCTGGGAAGGGAGTTAGGTTTACTTTGGAAGCAGATTCATGCCTCAAGCCAAATACAAGAGCAAAACAGTCAGGAGCAGAGAGACTTCATGTCCCTTCCCTTCAGCCAAATTCCTCAGAACCTGATTACTATTCCTAGAGTCAGAAAGAGCGGAGAGTACTTTGTACAATAAAGGAAAGTACTATGAATCAGGAATGGGGACTCAAGGTCCAGATTTGTTACTAGTCAGTTCTGAGTGAGGCCAATTTTTTACAGAAAATCTCAATTAAAAAAATCAGAACACAATTCAGATCTTAATAGAAACACAAACATATGCACACAAACATATATACACACAGTGTCCACAATCTGTGGAACACATAAAAAGTATAACATAGATGTAAATAGAGATGAAGGAGAGAGAAAGAGAGAGAGAGGGAGAGAGAGAGAGGGAGAAAGAGAATGTCTAAGGAGAAAATGACTGAAAATTTCCAAATTTGAAGGAAGATATCAACTCAAAGATCCAAGATGCAAATAAAAATCATCGGGGTAAGTATGTTCCCATACAGCTTAAAAGCAACTATAAAGAAATATTGAAAGTAGCTAAAGTAAACAGACAAACTAAATGAAGGAATATAAGCTTAAGAACAATAGTTACTTTCTCATTAGAAACAATGCAAGCAAAAAGACAAAGGCACAATATTTTTAAAGTACTTTCAATAAAAAGCAATTTCGAGTTTATATCCAAATAATATCACTTAAAGATAAAACCAAAGACACAACTTTCAGTAAATAAAATAAAAACTGTGTATAAAAGAGAACTTCCTCAACCTGATAAAGAATATCTAAGATGACATACTTAAAGTATTAAAAGAAAAAATACTGTCAACCAAGGCTGTTATATCTATTAAAACTGTCCTAAAAGATAAGGTCAAATAAAGACATATCCAGATAAGCAAAAACTGAGAGAATTGTTTGCTAGTAGATCTACCTTAGAAAAAATAGTAAAGTAAATTATTGAGGTTGAAATTTGACCCCAGAGAGTAAATTGTAAAAAAAAAAAAAAATTCCTATGCATAAGGAACACTGGTAAAGGGATTATATAATTATAAAAGATAGTATAAATACATATTTTTGTCTTCTCTAATCTGACTTTAAAGCATTATAGAAAACCATATTTACATATTTATCTATGTATACGTTTATTTAACCATATGCACATATGGGTAAATATATACATATGTACTTAATATGATTGTGTATAAAAACATACATGCATATTATGTTAAATTAAATTGTGTAAAATAAATAAATTTGTGTTGTTGGGGCTATAGCGTTTAGAAATATAAAATATTTGACAATAACTTAAAGGGGCAGGTAAAAACAAAGTTATATTAGAATAAGAAAATAAACTCAAATTTATAGGAAACACTGAGGAGTACCAGAAATAGTAAATAAAAAGGTTAACATAACAAACTAAAAATACATGCTTGCTTTTATTTATTTTCTTTAACTGCTTTGAAAGACATTAAAATTATAGAATGTGAAGATTTTAGCAGATTATCAAGTTTGTAATATATATGTATATGCAATATGTTTAACAATAATATATAGCATGGAAGGGGTAAAATAGAATAGAGCTATATAGGATTAACATTTCAATGTCTTACTGAATGTAAGTTAATTAAAATATGAAGTCTATTCTTATAAATTTAGTTGTACCTGGTAAGCCCTAGAGTAGCTCATTAAGGATATCCATATTTATACTAGAGGCCTGGTGCACAGATTTGTGCACTGGTAGGGTAGCTATACTAATATAAGAACAATCCTATTTAAAATGCTTCTTCTGTCTACATTGTATGTGAGGTCTGTCATTGAACAAAATGTCATTATGCGGCAAATTACTATATATTTATATATAGTACTATGCTCACAAGCATATTGAAATAAAATATTTTCATCCCTTTCAAATTCATTTGAACTTCCTATGTATATATGGAGGATCACTTAATACTAAAATATACCATAAACCCTTGTAACAGATGACAAGTTTATATTTGGTTCATCTCTCATGATAGGAAGAAATTATCAAAGGAAAGTACATCTAAATTAAAGTTTCTCAGTGAGTGATACAAATAAGTTCCACTATGTTAAGGAAAGCAAAAATAAGAACAGGCTTAGAATATATTGGGGTTTATTCTTTTCTCAATTTTTAAAAGAGAGAAACATTTAATTCAAAATTTTGTCATTTTTTCCTCCCATGGGTGAAACTGAGCCCATATTTCTATGTATCTTCTTCATATACCTAAAAGAATTTCTGACAACCACAAGTTTGTTTTAAAAGATTATCAAAACTGACAAACAAACTTTATCGAAAGGATGCTCTATCTTCATTGATGCTACAGGAGAAAATAAACTATGATATTGTAATCCAGTCATGAGAAATGGCAATGGTAATAGTTATAGACAATGGAAGATACCCATCTATATTTTTTCCTGATCAACTTTTAGAAACTCTTAATATAAGAAAAAAAAACAGTTGAGATCCAAAACTTCTTGAAAAATAATTTTTGAGAAAAGTCAACTCAAGGAAGATCATTCTCAGAATGGAAAGGGTTATAGTGGTAAGATTTGGATGATTAAATTAATATTTATGATCAATATGGCTTTTATATAATGCAGAACTTGAATATCTACATAATTGAAAAATGGGTCATAAATAATAAGCTATAAATCCTTTTTGAGAGAAAGAAAGAGGATGGGTAAAGGAGAGAGAGAGAGAGAGAGAGAGAGAGAGAGAGAGAGAGAGAGAGAGAGAGAAGAGAAGAGAAGAGAAGAGAAGAGAAGAGAAGAGAAGAGAAGAGAAGAGAAGAGAAGAGAAGAGAAGAGAAGAGAAGAGAAGAGAAGAGAAGAGAAGAGAAGAGAAGAGAAGAGAAGAGAAGAGAAGAGAAGAGAAGAGAAAAGAAAGGGAGAGAAGGGGAGAGAGAAGGGGAGAGAGACTTCTCAATGAAAAGAAAAACAAGAGGCCTCTCTTGGCTTTCCTGTTACAGATTTAGACATTCAGCTTTTCCTCCAATAACTAAAATATTTAAGTTCCTTGTATTGTTGCTTTTCTCTATCAAAGCACTGGGGTTTTTTTTTTAAAGCTAACAATAAAAAGGCATTTCTGGGAAGATAATAAAATTCTTAAAAATATCCAGGATTTTGCTTTTTATAAAAGTATTCATTTAAAAACATGTACAGAAGAATTGGACAAATAAAACTCACCAGTCTTTGCATCTTTCCAGTCATCGGAAAGAATAGTCTTGGTCTGGATGGTGTATTTAGAAATAGGACTATGATTGTCTGAACCACGGCTCCAAGTGAGTGCCACCGAAGTGGCTCTGATGTCTTCTATCCGCAGACCACCTGGCGGGCCTGGAGGGCCTGGAATGAAAAGTTGGGTAATGAATCAATGAACCCCAAAGAGTGAACTAAGCACACATTCGAATACAAACATGACTTCCTTGCAATTAATCTAAAGATATAACTAGTGTTGCCACATTGCTTTTAAATATAAAGTATAAGAAGTGATAAGGATGGTATTTATGGTTTTCACTAAATGATTTCATTTGTTTCTTTTTGCTGTCACTGTAAAATATCATTATTATTCAGGATACATACGATATTGTTTGAAACATAAAACACAATTTGCATCAATGGGACTTAATACAGATGGTAGCATAACGAGAATGAATGAACACTTGCTCCATGCATGAATCACAGATAGCACAATTCAGTCCAAACATGAGAATAGTCAAATAAGTCATCCTGCTTCTCCAAAATGGAACAAATACTTTTTTATAACCCTAAATATTATAGGTAGTGTATTTTCCTTTAAGTAGAAATTTCTGGGAATAATGTTATGCATTATTTTGGGTACTGCATTTATACTGGTTTTGTAATAGGAATATAAATATTTCTATTTTTATAAAATATAGAAAAGAATTGTTCTGAAAACACCAAATTATATAATGTAGCATCTTTGGAAAGAAGAATTATCACTAAAATAGAATTCTATAGATGATTCATAACTCAGTACAAATATTATTCATTTATCCTCTGAACTGTGAGAACTATGCTGGGTGGTAGAAATGAAAAGATAAATGAGACGTAGCTTTAGGGTTTCAAGTTCTCTTTGTCTTGAAAGGGATGAAATGAACCAGCAAACAAATAGCTATAATAGAAAGTAGAAAATGCCATAATAATGGTATACAATGTCCTTATTCTTGTCTTAATTTTTTTTAAATGGCTTTGCCAGTGTGGCTCAATGTTTGAGTGTCCACCTATGAACCAGCTCACCTTTCAATTTGATTCAATTCCCTTTCAAAGCACATGTCTGGGCTGCAGTCTTGATCCCTGGTGTGGGGTGTACAGGAGGCAGCCTATAAGTGATTCTATCTCATCACTGATGTTTCTATCTCTCTCTCCCTCCCTTTCTCTCTGAAGTAAATAAAAATATATTTAAAAAAATGAGAAACATGTCTTTCAAGTGGTGCAATACTTACGATGCCAAAGAAGTCTCCCAGTTATTAAAGAGCTCCTCTCCTTGACTAGACATTTCAGATACTGGCATCACTTAGGTTCTTTGCACCAAAGAGAAGGCCATCCCCAACGAAATTGGGCATGACAAATACAATAATCAACAGCTTTGGTAAAGTGGTCTCTTCATTTCTTCATATTGAATGGAACATGTTCTTATCTTTTAGCTAAAAATAAATACCTTCCTATTTATATATCAGATCCAATGCTTAGCCTACATAACTGGCCACTTTTTCCACATATGGGCTTTGGTCTTTGCAAAGGTATAGACAACACCCCAAACCTTCACCAATTTCTGTGTGGGTGGTCTCAAGGAGGAGGATGTGTATGTTGATCAACACAAATGCATGAATAGTAATAGTAAAATAACACAAGACACCCCCCATTCATGGTAAGAAATTTTATTATTTGGGAGCAAATATAATAAAAGGTAAAGTTTTATTAATGCATAATTTGTAAGAGTGAACTTATACTTCTTGATATTAGCTAAAAATAACAATAGCACACTATCCAAAATAAATGAAAATAGACACATAAATAATATAGAACAAATTTGGCATTCGTGCTCAGAAAGAACACAGTGCATGTTTTATATGTAGAAACCACATTGCAATACAGTGCACACTCATGATCAGAACCAAGAAATTTGTTACTTTACATAAAGCATTATACCAACTCAATTATCGCGTGTTTTTACTATTAAATCATCAACCAGAGGCAAATAATGGAAATATCTTTATATGCAATGTAGATCACACACATTTTAGAGTTCACTTAAGCCAAAATTTGCACGTTACATAGAATGTTGCCATTGAGAAAGGTGATTGCCAGAATCACAGTGAGTCAGTGGCAGCATGCAGAGTCAGAAGAAACTGGGTTTCCTGGCAAAACTCACTCAAAATGAGGAAAAGCTCATTTGAAATTCAGATGGTGCAGCCCAAAGGTACCTGCTGCCAAAGACGTCCAAAGAGCCACCTGAAGTGTATATTGATGTTCTCTTGAATTTATATTTCTTTTAACTAGTGTGAATCCATAACTTAAATTTACATGATGTAAAATGTTGTTAGTAAATAAAGAAAATGTATATTGTACATTTGAATAAAATAATTTATTTTATTTTTATTACATTGCAGTTATTGCTAAATCTTTTATAATTTTTACAGTAATCCCTATTTTACAGATGAGGAAACAGATAAGGATAGGTTAAATAAAATAATCATAGTCACTCAGCAAATAAATGGAAAGGGTAAGATTTGAACCCAAATGATTTGCCTTGAGATCAACTTTTCAAAACCAAGCCTTAAAGATAACATCACCCACTTACAAATCAGTATGCAATACATCTCCAGTCTCTGGTGATCATTAAAAGGTATTTGTTCATTTTTCCTGAATTTTTCTAGCTTTTTTTTTTTTTTTTTTAATAATTAGCTACTTACAAACAAAATACAAATATGGTCTCCACCCAGTTCTCATTCATATGCAATTAGAAGGAAAAATGAAAAGAAATGCAATTATTTATCAATTTGTCTTTTCCTTTTTATAAATACATTCAATAAAGAAGAGTTTAGACATTTGAGGAAAGGCAGCTAGGAAAAAAAAGCTTTTCGAAATGATTACTCACACAATACAAATTAGCTTACCATATTATTTCTATCAATAAATTAGACTCATTTTCTGATAGATCAAATGGGATAGAAGATATGAAAACGGGGCCCTTCAGAATTAAAAAGATGCATAGTAGCTGTAATCATACCCCAGTCATCAGGGGGTTGGTAGCAACACTTACACAGTAGAACTAACGTACTCTATCTCTCTTAGGCACTGACTGGTTTTCTAAACAAGTAGAGTTGGAACCGAATAGAAAAATGTACTGGTTTTGTGGGGACTTCACCCCACGTAGCACACACTTTTAAAATAAACCCTAATGTCAAGCCTATAGGACAACTTGGCATTGCCTCCCTTTTTTCACTTGCAATTTCCCAATATATAATGAAAAGCAAAACACCACATATAAATTTACCTTGGTTCATCTTTAATTTTTACTAAAATAGCAAATTTTGATAAGAAGTTTGAATATCATCATGGAAACAAAAATCTTTTCAGAACAAATTATCCCCCTTTAAAATAAAATAATCTTAAAATTAAAATGCAAAAGAGTATTAGTTATATTAGAAAAGATGGCTTCTTTTCCAAAACATGTCAAAGTCCCTTTATTGCTATAATATGATCCCTCCTCTAAAAAGTATTAAGACAGTAGTTGAGTTATAAGTTTATAAAACACACATTAATGTTGTGTGGTCTCATCAATGTGTAAGGCTGTGCTAAGAGGAAGCTGAATGTTAAATATCTTTACTTTAACATGTAATGAGAACGTGGTAGTTTTTATATTACTAACATTGATTAAAGCGGAATTTGATCCCAAGTAGAAATGAGAATGAAGCTAAAGGGAGGTAAATGAATCTGTATAATTCTAGCTGATATCGAGGCACTTTTTCTAAACAAGAAGATTCTCCCTTTCTTGGAACCAGTCACACTTGTGGTTTCTTTCTAAATTTTATTCTTTCTTTCCAAACCTCTATCTCTATTTGGTCTCGGTGGTAAACTTTCAATTATGGGCTGTGTAAAAAAAATGCCCACAAAGGGATTCTTGCACCATGTCTCCATGGCAATGTTTACAGACACATGAGACCCTCAAATTAATTTAAATAACTTATTAAAATGACAATTGATCTGGATCCCTGGTCTAAAGTTTAAGATAACTCTTTCTGTAACAATAAATCGAGACTAGAACAAATTTTAAAAACTTTTTTAAAAGATGGGAATAAGTAACATCTTGAGATATGTATTTATTTAAAATAACTAATACATTATTTTAAAAAGAAAATTATTCATATCATATTCAAACTATTTATGTCTTGTCTATATTCTTCAAACTTTCTTAAGAGTTCTTTCAACCACAGATGGGGATGCTTGAGTTAATAATGAGAAGTCCATACAATATCCCACATCCAAACATAAGCCCATTTAAGAAAAGCAAAACGTTTCTTCTGAAGAAACAAGAATTTTAAGCATGTCTCTTTGACCAAAGGGGGAAAGCGAAAGCATTTTCAAAAAATTACACTTAAGGTGTGGGATATTGTTTGCGCTTCAATTTTAATCCTTTACTTCTGCTCAAATATCCTGATCAGAATCTCAATCTTCCTCAAAAAGAAAAGATCTAAGGCTGATGGTAAGAGTTAATAAAATTAAATATGTATGCGTGCTATTAATGGCTTAGCCATCTTCAGTTCAATCTCATTTTCATGATCATTTTCTCCACAGGCTGTCCACTTGCACTTCCCATCCCCAGGAATTGTTCCAAAATCCCTACAGAGCCCTGGATAGTCTTCATTTGTTAACTGCTGCGTGCTATCCTTTCTTGCCAAAGAATATGTATGGCACCAGGATACCAAAGGCTGCAGGAGTAATGCCCCTTAGCTTATATTCTAATTAAGATGACTCATTAGTCAATTTGACAACCTTGTTCATTCCCTGTTTAGGTAAATCAAACAATCCACTCGATAGCAACACTGCTGTATTATAATTCATCGGTTTCCTCGTAATTTCTTTTCCAAATAATGGGCTAATTTCTGAGATATGTGATTTTTCAAAGAAAAACAGGATATGAAAACACAAAAATTATACTTGGCCATTAAATGATGCACTGGGTTAGTTCACTAGGCAGGTTTCAGATATTAGCGAAGCTGTCTCATGACATTTTTAAATACCCTTTTGCCCAAAATATATTTAGAATTTTCAAAAGGGGGAAGAAAAATCCTCTAAGAACTAGATTGAGGGGAGGGATG